CATCCCAAAGGGGCCGCTTTTCTCATGTCACATTGCACTTCCGCCAGGTTGCCTGATGGGGCTGACGCATTCGTGATGCCTGTGAGATACACAGGCGCCAACACCCGCCAAAGCCTTCAAACTGCAATCGTGGATATCGACTCACTCAAGAATAGACCTGCCAAATCTTTGAATTTCTGGACATGTTTGTTTGTTTGTTTGCTTGTTGTTTTGTTTTCTTTGCCTGTTTATGTGTTTGTTTCGTGTGTGTGTGTGATTCATTGTGTTTGATAGTGTTTGGTGGTGATTGACGGCGCTTGGCTGTGTGTGTGTGTGTTTGTTGCGTTTGTGTTTGTGTTTGTGTTTGTGTGTGTATGAGTGTGTTTGAGTGCGTTTCTGTGCGTCTGTTATTTTGTGTGTGTGTGTGTTGTTTGTTGTGTGTGTGTTGTTTGTGGTGTGTGTGTGTGTTGATTAATTATGGCTTGTTTGTTTGCTTTCTTGCTTGCTTGCTTGCTTGCTTGCTTGCTTGCTTGCTTGCTTGCTTGGCTGGTTGGTTGGTTCCTTTCATGTGTGTCTGGTTCTTACACAGTGTTTCCTGCCGGTGGGTGTTCAACTCCTTGACAAAGTGACATGTATATTTACTATAGGAATTTACATCTGTGTCATTATGCGTACACAACATATATTTGTATACACGAGAAGGCAACATGCATGGCCACAGAAATTTGGTGTGTCATGTCGTTCTGCAGGAGATAAATGCCGTCTGGGCCAGGTCGTTTGGCCACGACTGCGCACCCGAGACTGAGAAGGAGGGGCTTGATGTTCTACGAGGAACGCGTTTCGCAGGTAGGCTTATCAAATTAGCGCTTCTAGGTCCCGCAGTAGTGCCCTTTTACCCTTGTTTGGGGGAGGGTTCCCCAACTAAAATAGACGACAGAAAGAAGGGTACTATTCTAACCTCTCTACTGTCTACTGGAGGACCTAGGCTTTATCCCTGCAGGATTTCGTCTATCCACAGCATCTCCGGTTTTGAGTTTGTCGTGTTCGTCGCGTTTTTTTCTGAAATGCAGGGGTCCAGGCTACATTCGTTAGGCGCACACCCTTTTTTCTTTTCCATTGACATTCCTTTCTCGGAAACTCAGCGGTTTCATTATTTGTTTCAAGTCCGGCAAGGGGGAGCCATGTTGTAAACCAACACTAAACTCAAGAAACCCAAGCCGATACTTCATCCCAAAGGTTCGAACTCTTGAATCGGTTTCTATTTTGGCCAGAAGCAGTCCCTTGAGTTTAAATCAAATCCCGGGTAAGGGGCAGTCCCAGCCAGTTGCGGCCGTTTCAATCCCCATGGCTCGGTTCTGGGTCAGGTTTTGATGACTTAGGTTTGCAGTCGCCAAGTTGGCTTTGCATTGAAAACCGCTGCTACTTGCTGGATTGCCTTTTGGAGGTCTCAACCATTGAATTTGGAGGACAACCGCAGCCTCCTCCTGACTGGTTAGTAGAAAGTTGTTCTTTTTGCAGGGGCCTCAGACTAAACTCGATTGTCCGGCCACTCGAACATGGTTGTTGTTGGGAAACATTTTGCAGTTGTGGTTTTTGTGGCTTAGTGGGAAATCCCAACTGAACTGCTAAAATTTTAGTTTTTGCTGCCCTTCCAACGTCAACCAAGCAAAAGCTTTTCTTGCACTGGAGACGGTCTCTCGTTTGCCGAATCTGCCTGCGATGCTGCCAGGAGAAGCCTCCGGGTGCAGGGCAAGCAGCTTGTCGCAGACATTTGCACCCGGGTGGAAGGGTCAGGCTGCTAGGTCCCCAGCTAGGTGCCTTTTACTATTTCTTTTTTGGGGGAGGGTTCCCCTACTAAAATAGACTACAGAAAAAGGGGCACCCTTATTCTAACCTCTCAACTGGAGGACCTAGTTTGCGTGGAACACTTGACAGCAACATCACGACTTCAGGTTTCGCCCACATTTGACCCCGCTACCACTGCTACTACTGCTACAACTAGTCTACCACTACCACCACCACCACTAACACTACCACCACCACCACCACCACCACCACATCCACCACCACCACCACCACCACCATCCAGTTCTATCACGGCTACAATTACTCTTGTTTCTATTGCTGCTGCTGCTTGTTGTAGCTATTTTGGCTCAAGGTGAACGGTCGCCAAGAGGCGCCACCCTGCCTTTCGTCTATACTTCCAGCCCTTTCACGGGAAAAACATTTCAAGCTTCTGCCTGCCTCCGTCAGGCTTCTGACGATTTCATTCAGCCCCAAAGATGATGCTTGTGATCAATTTCCTGTCCCTGCTGCAGGCAGCATTTTACGAGGGGGAAGGATTCTGCCAGTTGACATTGGACGCTTTGAATACCAGCCCTTGCTCCATTGATGCACCATGGGACTTGATTTATTACACAGATGAAGTTACACCAGGAAACCCCCACTGTCAGCTGAAACATCCCGCAACAAATGGCTTACCTATCATTCTTGCAGCTTGGTGCAGTGGCATTGTCAAAAGAGGAGTCATGGTTTTGTGTGCTTGCAAAGAGGTCTTCAATAGTGGCAGACATGGAAGCAGGCATGAGTCAAGTTGCAAAAGGGCTCCTGAATTACATCTTCAAGCACCCAGCCTGTGATGTTCAACAAATAGGGTTGCTCCTCAAAGCCAAGAATGGTGCCAAGGCAAGATTGTACTTTAAAATGGGGTTCCTACAAGATGGGGCCGCCCATAAACATGTGTTTTCTTGCAAGAATGATGCAGGAACAAAGTTCTGCCTTCTTTGCACCAATTTGGATAGTGCAAAAAGCGGGCAAGACCAAGACGGGGAAGATCTACTAACCTGCTCAAGTTATAGCTTGAACGAGATTGTTTTAGCAACTGACAGCGACATCGCTGGGACGTGCCAAAGGCTTCTGGAGAGGCGTGCCACTATGTCCAAGACTGACTTCACACTGTGCTAGCAGGCTGTGGGGTTAAACCCATATCTCAGTTTCTTCATGATTGGATGCACATGATCCTGGTGAAAGGTGTCTTCCAGACCATCCTGTACCTCCAGATGAGCACCCTGAAAGATCACAAGGTTGATGCCCACACTATGTTTCCCCAGTGTGGGAGCTTTGGCACCCGCCCTCTGCAAAGTCAGAGAGAAAGACAGACCTCCGAGGAAGGAGCTCGCGAAGGACAGCGTGGGCGCCACGGTGAGAATTTGCACTCACCATAGCCAGTTCACGGGGGAGCTGTTGTATGACGCCTAAGGTCCTTGTGCCTTTTGGCATTCAGAAACTGAATTGTCATCCGGACACCTGTCTCACACAATGCAGCTGTGGTGGAAAACAAGACAAGCGCTTCATGCAAACTTGCCTGGGCACATTGACCATGACCTTCATGTTCAGCATGTGGTTGACCAAACACAACCCAGCCATCCTTGCAACTTGTGATGCTGTGCTTGCAACCAAGCTCTTGCCCACAAGGTTTTTCTCTTGCCAAAGCTAGAAAAAGCTACATGTAGGAGTTAGCTAAGTACTTAGCTAAACCGGCCAACCTAGTAGCTAAGTCCTTAAGTGTTTAGCCTAACCCCTGCAACAGCTTAGCAACCTTTTGGCAACTCGCCTAAGTACTCCTAATTTCTAGCAACTTCACAGCTCATCCAAGCATCCTTTGATTTCAATGGCTGCATGATGTTGGGCCAAGAGGCGGGTTTCTTTTCCGCAGCTCTTGCCTGGGGTTCTCGCTGGAATAAAGAGAAGCAGCGACACGGTATTTCCGAACGAATCTATGGGCAATAGGTTACAGACACAACATGGCCATGGTTGAAAACCAATGGGATCCCATTTCGGGATAGGTGCACCACCCATTTTAGTCGAGATTTTAGTGGGGATTGGGATGTTCACTGGGGGTTACAGACAGAATACGGCCCCATATCCAAGTCCTGAAGACTGAATGCGCATGCACATATTACTCCTGTGTACCAATCTTTGCTCAGCCAACACTAGATTCGCTTACTGCTAGCTCCACTACTAATACTACTACTACTACTACTACCACTACTACCACTACTACCACTACTACTACTACTACTACAACTACCACTACTACCACTACTACTACTACTACTACTACTACTACTACTACTACTACTACTACTACGACTGCTACTACTACTATTACTGCTGTTAGTATTACTACTATTACTGCTACTACTACTACTACTACTACTACTACTACTACTACTACTACTACTACTACTACCCCAACTGCAACCACTACTACTTCTACTACTAATACTACTACTACCACTACTACTACGCGGTACTATACTGCTATAACGCCCAGACCGCGCGCGCGCGGCGACCGCGCGGCGGCGGCGCCGCGCGTTGAGGCACGAAGGACAATAACTGGACTCATGGCAAGGCGTCAATTTTCAGTTGTGTAATCAGTAATACTAGTAGCACCTTCAGCACTTCAGCATATGAGTTGCCAAGGCCAACAGGTTTCAAGCGCAAGCTGTCTCACGGCCGCACTCTCGGCAAGGCTTCAACAGCCAGTCTGACAGTCTGAAGACACACGCACAAACGGGCACACGCATCTTCCAGGCGGGACGTATGTATTTAGGCGGTACTAGGTCTGGGACCTGTGCTTCCGCTGCTACTAATGTGCTTTCTTACGATTACAACAACAACTACGACGACGATCTACGGCTACTACTACTACTACTACTACTACTACTACTACTACTACTACCACTCCTACTACTACTACTACTACTACTACTACTACTACTACTACTACTACTACTACTACTCTTTCTACTACTACTACTACTACTACTACTACTACTACTACTACTACTACTACTACTACTACTACTACTACTACTACTACTACTACTATTGATTGATGTCTAGGGGCAAGGGCCCCCAAACTGGCCTCCTATTGGCCCCTGTTTTGGTTCTCACATGTTCGGCCTGGTTTGGGACAGAGCCAAACCCCACAGGGAAATAAAGGTTCAACTTTTTGCCGGCCTTTATCTGTGCTCCAAAGTAATGCCCACTTGTTTGACCGCCCGTGTTGTGGCCAGGACTTGTTTGTATAGGACTTGTTTGTATAAAGCCTGCCTTGCATGCAGAAGAGTGTCTGAATAGCGCACTCCAATTTGTAATGCCCACGGGCTATTCCTGAACAGTTAGTTGGTGGGTTGGTGGGTTGGTGGGTGGGGTACTTGGTTTGCGCTAGTTTGCAAAAAGCCGGGGGAGACGTTTTTCAAATACGGGCGCCAAGCAGTGTTTATATCCTGAAAGATAGGCAATGCACCCGCATTGCACTGACTACTTGTTAGCATGAAGCCCACCCTGCGTGACTAGAGGTGTCTGAAACAGCCTGAAACCTTCCAGCTTCGAGCGCCTACAACGTGTTCCTGAAGGGCGTTGCTGTGTCGCAGGTTTCGCCAGGAGGTTGTACTCTCTTCGAATGTACCTTTCGCGGCCCGAGCCTTTTGGTACAGCTTGAAAGCCACATTCAGCACCTAATTTCCCATGTGTTTCGTACACGAAGATGACGGCATAAGCAAAAACACACGTAGGCGCAAGGAGGCGCAAGGGCGGGCGCAAGGGATCCTAAAAGGAAGCCGGAACAAGAATTTTCTGTGTAAGGAATTCAAAAAGTAGACATCTAAGTCATTGTTTGGACTTCCGCTGGTTTCGAGTTGGCTTAAAACCGGCTTAGTATCAGTTTGGTTTTGGTTTATTTTTGGTTCATGATTGGTTCGACCATGTCCCCTGGTAAGACTGGAGTTGCGGTCAGCGGGAGTTTAGATTTGGTTTTGTAGTGGCTAATTCTAGCTTAGTGGAACAATATTGCTTATTCATAGGGCGAACAAATTACACGAGAGAGCGCCATCCACTCTGACCCTCGGGGGAAGGGGGTGTTTTTGGTTCTGTATCACAGGACACAAACTTGGATTTTGATCCTTCGTTCTCCCTATCGTGTCTTTTGCCAAGCTGGATCCCCAACATGGGCTTCGATGTTCCTTTTGTTTCCTTTTAAAACCATTTAAAACAAGGGGGCTCCCCTACTACAAAAAAGGCCGCTATAGAAGACCCACCCAAACAAAGGGGCTCCCCTACCAAAAAGGGCCGCTATAGAAAAAACACCCAAACAAAGGGGCTCCCCTATTTTAAAAATTCGCTATTAAATTAAATATATTTTTTAAAAAGGGGGCTCCCCTACTATTTAAAAGACAAAAGGCAAGCGCTCTCTCTACGCTTCGTGACGAGTCGAGGAAGAAGATGGGCCCCGCGGAGCCGAAAGCGGCGAAGCCGGTGGACGATGGCTTCGACATGTTCGGCTGAGCCATGCGCTGCGGCTTCCGCGCGGAAGCAAGGACGAGGAACTGGAAAACCAACGACCCAGTTCCAGAGCAGCCCCTGGTAATATGAAGAGTTACCCCCCTTTCTCCCACTAATATACTGTGAATGAGCAAAATCCTCCACTTTGAAACCATGGGAAACCATTGGTTTTTGGTATTTGCAGGGGAATCATCCTGCCAGGGTTTCTTAGGTGGCGCAGGATTTTGTTCATCCACAGTAGCACCTGTTGCAGGATGCCTGGAAGATGAATCTCGTTGTTCATCTTCTTTTACCCCCAAAATGGTGGGTGGCCTTTCGGTTTCCGTTTAAAACCGAAAAAGACACTGCATGTAAGGAGGCAATGCCCATTGTAATTGTTTTTACTAACATGGCACATGTGGGCGGGTACCTGGAATATGAATCTCCTTTTGCAGGGAGCGCTTGTCAAGTGCCATTTTAGCGGGAGGAAGGGTAATTTAAAACACTGCACACATTTGTCTTCAAGGATTCATGACATGCTTTGGCGAAAAAAGTGCCCCGCACAGCAAAATATCATTCTATTATACCCCTGGAATTCCCATTTTAAGGTGTGTGTGTTTCTTATGTATCACTGGTGGGGCCGATTTAGAGTCAGTTTCCTTTTTGGGAGGTTGATGTTTAGTCGGGGCAGTTACAGAGCTTTGAATGCAATCAGTACCCTTTTCTAAGAATCATGTGTCACCATTCCCCGAGCAGCATACACTTGGCAAATCTCAATAGAATCCCGTGTTTTCGGATAATTCAATGTTGCAATGTGAACCATATCATTTGCGACATCGTTGGTTTGTTTATAATGGCGAAAAGGTCGGCATCACATGCGCAAAAAACATGCGTGTATCTGCAATGGAGTTATCATAGTTCCGCGTCGCGCAGATGGAGCAATCCGCCCTTTTGGCATGCTGAAAGCTGGATTGCTGGTGCAGATTCGCTGCAAGAAAACAAATCTGCTCTTGCAACGGGGGTGGGGGATGTCTCTCCGTCGCATTTTGGCCCTGTGTGATTGTTTATTTCGTGCTTGTTAGACTAAGGAGATGACCATCACGTGGCGGTGTCAGTCCGAGTTTAGGGTACACCAGCGTGCAGCAAGATACCCAGATAGAAATGTTGTACTCCCTGGTTTCCCCTCACTTCTTCCATTCCACCTGCAAAACATGGACCGAAAAGAAGCATGGCCACAACGCAGTCCTGCGACTACATTCGGCGAGGCGGTGGTGCGCACCGCGCAGGCCCAAGGTCCGGACCGGGACTCGCTGGCGTGCATGGCCCGGAAGCCCAGCAAAAAGGGGGCGCCTCGTTCAACCGCTGAGGGCTGTGATGGGTGTGAGGTTTTAAGATCATTGCTCGAAAAACCATCCTCCAATAAAACCGCCAGGTGCTGAAACGAACTGGAACCTCTCGATATGTTTTTTCTAAAAACAAAAGCCGGTTGGTGTTTTTCAAGAGTATCGCTACTGGGCATATGTGTTTGTTTTTCCCGGGAGGCGAAAAATGCAAAAGGAAGGTTTGAGCCTGGGGTTTACTGAAACCAGAAAGGGATCTGGGATTGGTTACCCCCTTAAAAAAAGGTACCCATTAAGAGGGTAGGCTAAAAACATTGGGGGGGTCCCTATTTTCGGGATTCTTGGGATTCTTGGGATTCTGGGATCTGGGATGGGGGATTTCTTGAGGGTACCAGTGCCAAGTTTTTTCGAGTTGGCGAAAGGGAAGCCAAAGGAAAGTGATCGCCCATTTGAGTTGTTTGGAGTTGCAAAAACCGTTTTTTGGGTTGGCTGAAAGGGAAGCCAGAGGGAGAGCCGAAACCATTTCGGTCATCCAAATCACTATTTCGACATACCCATTTGGGTCTTCAACATGTATTTACCCCACCCGTAGTAGAGGGTGGCAGCTTTCTCTATGTCGAAATACGGGTGTGTCCCCAACCAAAAAAGGGGGCATTGTCCAACAAAGACACGCCATGGGAAAATCTGAGTGTGGCCCCTAGGGCCGCAAGGTGAACATGTGATATGAGCAGGTCAGTGAGGTACAGCTGGAAGCTGTTTGGAAATCAGTCATCTCCCACCTGCCCCTCACCCCAAATCTGTGCCTTGTTTGGGCCCCATTGGCCTCATGTTTTGCATTTCTGAATTCAGTGAAGGGGCGTTGAAAGGGAGATCCTTCGAGGCAAGAAAGCGCCTGGTGGCTATTTCGGGCCCATGATGGTGTGCAAAGGGAACTGCTCCCTTTGCTTCCAATATTCAACATGCCTCGCTTGTTTACATGGCCATGGGTCAAAAGCCAAATCGTACCCCTAGTGAACATCCCAATCCAACCACTAAAACAGGTAAAACCTATAATGGGTGGTGAATTCACCTACCCCAAAATGGAATCTCATTGGTTTGGACAACCACGGCCATATGTTTTGCAATCATCACGTGGCTTCTAGAAGAGGCTACAGACGTGTGTTTTGTCTTGAAACTGCGTAGGTTCCTTTGTGATTTGCAGGGATCATAGGCAGCGAAGCGAAAGCCAACTATGTGTGCAGGCAGGTAGTTTTCAGGAGCCAAGTTGGGGAAACAAGTGTGTACGGCAATGACGAACAACAAGACCGTGCTTGGGCGTTGGGTGTGTACTTTCCGCGCTTGGCAATGTGAAGAGGGTTGAAGATGCTCCGGAGCCATTCAGGGCAGACAGATCTGTGCCCAATGTGCCACAGTCCATTCCATCGGACCCGCCTCAAGCAGTGGGTGCGCATTATCTTGATTGCTATTGGATTGAATCGACTTTAGACTTTAACTTTTGGGCAACTCAAAAATTTTCCGAATTGAACCACAAAAAGTCAATCACTTTTCGCAGAGGGGTCGGTGCAGCAACCCAGGTGGTCTTGAGTTTGCCAGGGCAGCAAGTGAGCATACCAGCCAAAGGAAGCAAGGCAGTGGCACCTCCAGCAAGGCAAGCCAAACTCAAACACCTTCCATCATGGCAATAGCCATGGAGTCAGTCATATGGCTGTGGTTGTCCAAACCAATGGGATTTCATTTTGGGGTAGGTGCACCACCCATTTTCGTCTACTTTACTTGGGATTGGGGTGTTCACTGGGGGTACGGGATTTTGACCCATGGCCATACATGTTTTGTTAAAAGGTTTGGTATTTAGTCGTTGCTTTGCAAGGAAACACCAAAAGGGTCCATTGGCGATGCGTTTGAAACGGCCCATTTTGGGGCATGTTGATTCATATTTTCAGACAAATGAAACGAGGTGACTCATGTTGACCCCGGATTTCTTCGCAACTGGGAGTCGTTGGCCGGGTTTGAAACGGCCCATTTTGGGGCATTATGATTCCTGCGTTGAACTCTCTTAGAGTCACTCTGAGGCGGTGCAATGCTGGTGGCAGGAGCGCCCGAAAACGTGCCCCCAGGGGTAACTCGACCACGTCCTTTATGAGACGCCACATTGTCACATATAGTTTACTTCTATATCAAAAAACAAATGTCATTTCAATTTCTATACCCCATAGCCTCTTTTTAGTTATTGAGGCCCTTATATTGTCATCATCTACCAATTGCAAGTTAAGGATAGTTGAAATCATCGTTGATCAAGGCTGTTAGGGCAGCCAGAATGCCTGCCAGAATGTGCAGTATGTGTTTCAATTGATTCCTCGGTTTAAGTCATTCTTGGGATGGGGGGCTCAACTCTCAAGCTTCGATGCCCGTGCCTTTTGTTGGAGGTTGCGGTTGGGCCATTCTTATGCTTTGACGGTTTTGAAGGGACTGTACAGCGCAAGCAATTAGCTGGAGGGCTCACTAATTTGGAGAAACAGCGGAATGGGCACGAGGTCAATCCACCCTACCCTATGACCCTCCGGCCCGAATCAATCATTCCCCAGGCTGCAAGAATCCAATTGTTTGCACTCCAGCCTGCTAGCCTTTTGAGAACAAGTTCACCCGGATCCTGATGGGGTCACTGACAGCTTGGGGCTTGAAAGAGTTCCAGCTGTTGCTCTGGTGGTCTCATTGTGAGAGTTGCGGTTGGCTTGTACCAGGCAGGAGCATTTTCCCTGGACTTTCTGTTGGCACAAGTGGATTTGCCCAACTCCCGAACCATCCAAGAACGCTTACCGCTTGATGTGGCGAGAGCAGAGGTAAAGACCACCCAGCTTGGTTCAGCTCGTGCAAGGGAGACCAACAGGAAACCAACCAGTTTGTGGGGATCCCAAATTTTGAGACCCAACTGGCTGGTTTCTTTCGCGTTATCTCTGGTGAGGAGAAGCCGCTGCAACGGCTTTTGGCCAGGAGGTTGGAGAAGCTGGGGGCCCCAAGCCGTATGGGGAATGCGTGGCTGGGTTGTGCTTTGATGGGGAAGCCATGGGCAAACAGTGTGCTGAAAAAACAACCTGGCGTTTCCCTGCAAAGCAGCGGGAACAAAGTCCCAAGTGGTGAGGTCCCACCTGTGTGTCACGTGTCACGGACACCTGGTGAAGTTAGGGTGGAGCTTCCGTGAAGCAAAGTGGGCTTGCTTATCGGTCGTTTTAAGTGAGAACCAAGAGAGAAGCAAAGCGACGAAACATGTGAAGTAATTCGGAAGAAGTGAGGTTATGCTCAACCATGGAAGCGGGCAGGAATGCGGGCTCTGGGGCATTCGTCTACACTGATGCAGACAACAATAGTTTCGGTTGGGTCAAAGTATGTTAAATTTTTGTGCCAGCGTGGCAACATCTTCTCGCTTCCCCCCCTTTCCCCGCTGTCATGATAAATACATCGCCTGGAGGCCAAAACATACTTTTAGGTGCACAACCCATTTTAGTCGAGATTTTAGTGGGGATTGGGATGTTCACTGGGGGTTTGCAGACAGAATACGGCCCCATATCCGAGTCCTGAACACTGAATGCGCATGCACATATTACTCATGTGTACCAATCTTTGCTCAGCCAACACTAGATTCGCTTACTGGCTTTTCCGCGTAGCCCCTGGCGGGTGGCCTTTTTTCCCGCGCCCACCATCGCTTGTTGCGCTGCGTCAAGCACAAGTCGAGATTTAGGGGCATTGATCATTGATCTTGTGCGTTTCTTCTATGCGTCCAAAGAGAAAGGTGCTTTTATTGATGCTGCTCGTCAATCACTATGCGCACAACAGCACCAAGAGCCGTTGCAGTGTTTGGGGTGGATAGGGATAAAGCGTTATAGGGGTTAATTACCATCACCGGGATGGCTCGGAGACGGTGGGGATTTGACACGGTGATTGCTTGGTCGTGGCAATCTTGTGTGTGTGTGTGTGTTGTTTGTCTCTGTGTTTTTTCCGCAAGGCAAATTCTACTCGCTGACCTTGAGGGGTTGCGAGCCGGAAGGATGACGATTTAATTGGGAATCCATATAAGTTCATGTTTGTTGTTGTAATGATTCACTGAGATGCTGATGGGTTTGCAAGTGGATGACAGGTAGTGAAGTTTGTGAGTAAAATACAATTAGCACACGGAACACCCATTTTCCCGCAACCCATGTCAATGTCTGTTCCTTTCTTTTCCCATCGGTGGGGCATGCTATCTAATTGATACTCGCTATACATGGAGGGAGGGTTATCAAAACTAGTTGCCCTTCTGGGACGATGGTACATCTTGTGCCACGATTTAAAGAGGTCCCAAGAGGGGTCCATAGTTTTGACAGGTTTTCACCACAGGTTTGTCCCACTTACCTCCTTGTTTTTTTGGTTGAATTGTACTTCACTGTTCTTGGCAGTCAAGTGTCCTTGTTTTTTTTTTGGGGGGGGGGGAGGGAGGGGTGGTTGTCTTTGCAAGTGTTCTTGTTTTTTTTTTGCCTTTTGGTTCTATTCATTTTTAGTAGGCTGCCAGAAACCGTCCCGTTTGTTTGCAAGCCCAAGGGTTGAGTGTGACATCAGCCCAACACAGCCCAGAGCCCTGGCCAACCAGCCCAACCAGCCCAACCAGCCCAGCAGCCCAACAGCCCATGAGGTCAGCCCCAACCAGCCCAACCCGCCCAACCCACCCCCCGCCCAACCCCCCAACTCCCCTCACCCTCCCCACCGATCCCCGCCGATCTCCCCAGCAGATCCAGGCCCTAAGCCTCCAGGAGGCGAGAAGCGCACGGGCAGAAGTCTTGGCGGGGCGGCTTCCAATCGATTTCTGGCAGATGGCGGCTCTGCAAACCGAAGAAGAATCACTTTGAGGCGCCTTTTTTTCGCCCAGGGAGGTTAGGACTGAACCACTTTTTGCCAACGAACGGGTTTTCCATGAAGCCGCTGAAAGTTGAACTTTTAGCAGGGGAGCAACCGAGATCAGTTAACTAACATTTACTTAAGGAAATGGGTGGACATGGGCGGGGTTACTCCAGGAAATGGGTGTTCTTAAAAAAAAAAAAAAAAAAAAAAAAAAAACAATATGTTGACATAAATCATTCTTAGGAAATGCTTGCGATTCTGAAAAAAAGAAGGGACTCCAGGAAATGGGTGGAAGGACTGAAGCATCCGGCGATCCGGCCTCGGAACGTCTCATAGGCAAAAAAACACGGCCTTGATTTCCTATGTCTCCTTCCGCGAACTTCCTCCGAACCAACGCCAAGCCCAAACTCAGCTCTAAACCAGGGAGGAACCTCCATTTCCTTTTTCGGAAATTTCAATGGACACCACCAATACATTGAGCAACTTTTGAAGGGAAATCCCGGAAGCCAAGCCGCAGTCAAGCCTACGGTGCCCCTCGACCTTGACGACACGGCAAGGTTGGGCATTGGTTTCAACATGCAGACCCCGGCACCATTTGCAGGGGCGCTCATTTCAACACATGTGTAACGAAACTGGTTTGACCTGCGGTTCTCTCCCCAAGCCTGCCACATGAGGCATGTGTGCGCCGCAGCGGGCCGGGCCCAAAAAGCTCGGTTCCATATCCCCGGCCATTGGTGGGCCGGCCATGGAGAAGCTTACGAAGTTCGTCAAGGAGAAGTCTTCGCGGCCGTTTTGCCCGACCTGACGAGTGGATGCACCACCATAGGTGTCCTTTTTGGTTGTTTTGGTAGAAAATAGATGGCGATTCCTGGTTTACCTGGTGGTTTTTGCTCATCTACCAGGGCCATCTATTTGCCCTAACAGGACACCCATGTGCACCATGTTTTGGATCCTGGCTGGCTCCTAAGGACATCAACCCGTTTTGTGCGCGGAACTGGGCGAATGCTCAGGTTCCAAAAGGACGTTCCTCTCTCGGAAGATGTTTTCGCAGTTTTCTCCTGTTTGGGAACCTTTAGTGTTGGGAACTTATTTCAGTGTTTTGGGGGCGATATTTATCAGGACCCTTGCAAATGCTTTGGACATTCAGCGAAATGTCCGGCCCCACTTCAAACTCAGAGATGTCAAAAATGACCAGGCCCATCCAAGCGACATCATCAACATGACCGGCTTTGCTGGTGGTTTCAAGGGACGACGGGGACCCAACAGAACTTCGGGGTGTTAGCTGCAAGATGCGCCCTTGAGAGGAGCAGTCGCTGCAGCGCTCGGAGCGGAGCTCCCATGGGGAGGAGCTGGCAAGCTGGTTGCAACTGTTCAAAGGCCACCAAAGCTGATCGAGAATATGTGATAGCTTGGGCTGAAGCAGCATATCATGGGGCAAAGAAAGATTTTCTCGTATCATGGTCAAAGAAGGTTGTCAGGTCCCGAAAGGTGCCCCAATTGCTTCTCTGTTGCCAACGGAGTCGTTTCTTGATGTTGTTTGATGGCAAGAAGTCCACTCACAATTCAGGCAACCCCGAATTGGCGGTTTGGATAGGTGGTTTGGGGATTTGAACCTGGTTCTTTTCGAGGGTAAATGAGAAGGCCCTCCGTTTCACCACCAAGCCAAAGCGAGGGCAGCTGAAGATTGGCAGCGCCATGTTGAAGCTGGGCCCAAGTGCCCAAGTGCCGGGTCTGGTACTTCAAGCCAATTCCTCCAAGCTCACAATGGCAGCAGCTCCCTTGCCTCATTGAGGATGTGGGCCATTCTCCTCCACCAACCCACCGGCTTTTTTCTTGGTACCTCATAGAGGACGGCCATTTCTCGGTCCTGAACCCAATCCAATCCAAACATGACCATAGGTTAAGTCATGGTTGTTGTTGGGAAACATCTGAATCATTTTTGCTTGTTGTGGTTTAGTGGTTGAAATCCAACCACTGAACTGCTAAAATTTCAAGATTTTTTGCTCCCCAAACCCAGCGTCAACGTCAAGAAATGAGAACCCCCGTCCGTTTCACCAAACCAAGCCGAGGGCAGCCTTGCACGGCAGGAGCTGGTGCAATGGCTCGTGGAGCTGGGCGCGCGCGGCGAGAAGGCCGCCGCCGCACCTCGGCCGCAGGGCGCCTCTCAGCTCCAAGGAGCTCGGACCGGGGCAGCCCGAAAAAGACGGGGCGGGACCTCCCCCCCTCGAAATGGGGCGTATTTCCCCAAATTGGGCGTATGACTTTTTGGTGGGCGCCCTGTTTGGGGTGGGAAGAAGGAGAACCAAGAGGAAGACCTTCATTGTTGGGCTTAATAGGTGTCTCGCGTTTTGAGGGCATGTACATTCAAAATGCGCACACACATACACATCAATTGCTCAGTGTCGCCCGCTTTCCCTTTTTGTTTGTTTGGTTTCCCCTCGGCTGAGCGAGGGAGCGGGAGGCAAATCGGCTGGCAGGTGTAGGTAGGGAGTTGGAATGAACCCTTGGGGGATTCCCTGAAAATCCACAAAGGGGGATGAATCGGCCAGAACGTGGTGAGATAGGTAGGAATGAACCTGTGCTTCCTTTGAAGGAATCCACAAGGGATTGTTGATAGGGGTCATTGCTTCAGATGAATTCTCCAGAACTGGCCGGTGAGATAGGTAGGGAAAGAGTTGGAATGAACCGTTTGGGGATCCCTTCAAGGAATTCACAAGGGATTGTTGCTAGGGGTCCAATCCTCATTCCCTGCTGACCAGCCAGATAAAGAGGAGGCGTGAAGCCACCCAACTACTATTCGATTTGCATTAAGTGGTTGGCCACGGGTATAAGCCGCTAAAAGCAAAGAGAACCCCGGCTGAACGGGGGACTTATAAGTAAGTTATAACCTAGGAGAACACCCAAAAAAGGATGTGCAAACCAAAGACGGATTGAAACCACCGCCCCCAAAACCACGCCAAAATGTCAGGAGCCTTCAAGAGGTCGGTCTTTGAATGGCACAAACAGCAAACACCACATGAGAGCATCAAGCAGCATTGGTTGATTCTTCCAACGGACATATAATGATTCCCCAGTCTTTGGACTTCGTTTTACACGGCTCTGTGACATCGCCCGGCGTTCTTTCGTCCTGTAAGGCAGCTCTCAGGGTTGACCTAAGGACATGGGCTTTGCCTCCAGCGTCGCCAACATGGCCACGGACCGCGACGACGCCGTGGCCGCCGCGGCCATCACCACCCTCGGGGACCTCGGGGCGGAAGGCGAGGTTTAATCGGACCTGACGCGGACGGCGGGGAGAAGACAGGGTTCCAGGGGTACCTTCCATTTCCATTCTGAACCCAGGGATCCTTCTGAACCCAGGGATCCTTCTTTCCAGAGAACCTCCAGAAACCCAGGGAAGACTGCAGGTGTTTTGAAAATAATGGGGAATCAACCCCTGGAGTGGTGTGTGTTCAAAGGGAAGCACCCCCCCCCTCCCCAACAACACATGGCTTGGTTGGTTTCTCGTTGAACCAACCCCAAAAGGGAAAGCAAACACATTAAAAGATCACATTTGTTTTGCTCATTCATGCGTGGCAAAATAGTCATCCGCTGCTGTCTCTTGCCAGTCACATGGCCTGGGTGCAACAACATATGTTGATGGTCAACTGGAGCCTGACTGATATGCACCTGGTTGTCCCTGCGCAAGAAACTTCCGTGAGTGGCTTGGCCCCCTTCTTTTTTCTGGTGCTTGCCACTTAATGCCAGAAGTTGGAGCTGGCAACCACCAGGACCCCCTATCCTGAAAGGAATATCCTCGGCTCTCAGTTGTTGCCCCTGATTCATGGCCGAGCAAATGTCAACTCCGATGATCTGATTTTTGGTGTACCTGATAGTTGAGGGCTTCCAAGAGGCGCGTTGATGTGGCTTGGATGCCAAATGAAGTCCGTGAGTCCAAACTGCGGTTTTGTCCTGAACTTTTTGGCTTGGGGTTTGGGCTCTTGGACTTAGGGTTTGGGGCCCCTATGTGTCGCCGGTCGGCACGTTTCAACATTGTGTTGGACACTGTTGGATGAGTTTCCTTGTGGGGTGATACCTAAGGGGAAATGATAGGGAGCCTTGTTTGTTTCCCTCACACGGATGTCGATGAGCCAGGCACGCTGAACTAGACGCGATCAATTCCTGACAACACTGAGTGTTCTGCCGACTGTAGTGGACGTTGAATCAGGGCCAGAAGAATGTGCCCAAGACTTGTAAATCTGCATTTCATGTTTATCCAACATGCACTGGCTGGAGCGCCGAGTTCATGGACAAAGCTCCGTACCAAGCATGTTACAAGTTCGACCTCTTTGGCAGCTGGACAAAATCTCCGGCACCACTCATCCCGGGTTGGATGGACAAATCGTCCATGGGTTTTTCGGGTAGGTTTCCTCCATGCCCTCTGGTGCCCGGGATGCCCATGGGTTGGACAAATCGTCCGGGAGGGTTTTTCTTGGGCCGGGTTTTGGGCCTAGGTGCAAAGCACATGGGCGCTGTGGCCAGCGGCCTGAACCGCAGCCCTGAGGCGGGCAGCGCCCCCCCCGGGCCCAGGTCTGGCGGTGGCCTACCTGGACCTGTCGCAGGGTCTTAGTCTACCTTTTCATAAGAAGGGCCATTTTTGGGTACCATTTTCTGAGCCGCAGACACCTGCCTGGCTTCATATGGTTAGGTATGGCCCATGGCCTAAATATAAAGCTTTACCATCTTAGAACTACACGTTGGTCAATGTGTTTTGCGCGCTGCTCATGGGAATCATCGGTGCGTTGCAAGGTGTAAAGGGCTACATGAATCGCAGTGTTCCCTGATCATGACTTGGTTTGGTGTGAACCTACAACCCCAATCTAATTGCATAGGCGCTTATGGCAACAGAGTTGCCAACATGATGATCCTTCATTTAACCCATCCATGAAAGCCTTGTGACTACTTGATGCAAAATACGCGGCCCCGACCCTTTTGCAGGGGATCCCTTCCGAGGATCAAAAGGCCCCGATTCACAGCGCCCAAAGGAAAGCAGAGCAGCCGGTGACCCAAGGACTGTCCAGCCTTAGCCCGTCCTGCTTTGATCACCAGGATCGCTGCGATTGAAACTTGCCTTTCTGCGCCCTTATCGCTGCAGAGCCATTCCGCGTTTAATTTGCGCTTCAGGAAACCGTGCCAGGGCTAGACCTCGCACGTGTCGTTCAAAGACGTGGCACCGTGGGTTCTTGAACACAGCTGGCACTGTTCGGGTTGCTTTGTGTTCGCGCGGCGGCGTGTGTGTGGCGTGAGGAAGTACAGGACAGCTGATTGTGAACCAAAATTTGAGCCTGCTGAATCAACAAAATCGACCTCCGAATATGCACAACCCAAAGCGCCACATGCCACATCGCTAGCTGCCCCCGTGGCAGAGTAATCCTTCTTCAAACCGATGTTTGCACTCGAGCTGTAGCGCCGTATGCTTGGAAACAGGGTCATATCACCTCCCAACAGCTGCGGCGAAAACTAACTGGGAGCAGCAGCAGCGGCGAGCCCCGACTCCTTTCAGGTCCCGGGTGGCAGAGCTATTCCCTTGACCAAATTGTGACACCTGGAGAAGGCCCAAGGGTTTGAAACCTCAATGGATTTGGGTGTGTTTTCTTTTGAGGGCACGCTTGTTGAAGATGGTTTAAGGTAACCACAGTGAGAAACCACCTAGTGTGATCATTTCTGGGTTATCCCATGTGGAGACCCACTCACATTCTGCATGAGCAAGCCGAATCGATGCACTTGTCTTTCGGACCTATTCTAGAAAACAAGAGGCAACCTGGAAGGCGGTTCTTCATGCCTTGTGTGCAAGTCTCTCATGTCGCCAGGGGTACCTTCCCCATTCTTTCCAAGCATCCTTCTTTCTAAAAAACACCCAACACCCCGGAGAAACATCGGTTTTTGAAAAGAACGATGGTTGAACAGGGCTCCTTAAAAGATCTCCGTTTTGCAACCATTTGAAACATGTTGCTTTTTCAACACCAAAGTAAAGTTGGAAACCACCATTTGCAAGTTGCAATGTTCAGGTGTATAATGCATCCGGATCCCTGTTGGGACTGGTTTCCAAGCTGGAAACATCTGGTTTTTGAGTCTCCAATTATGAATGAGGGCTCATGAATAAGGCTACGCCATGGCTGGTTGAAAAGAAATCGGACGGCCAAATCCGCGAGTTTCCTTTGGACGACTCCCCGCTGCAGAAAGTCCCCGCTGCTCGCTGCAGTCGCCAGGTGGTGGTGGCAGCTGCCACGGCCTTGGCACGCTTTGGGACTGCAGCGGCGGCACAGGCCTCACCAAAAACGAACTCGCCGTTGTTGTGTTTGTTTTGTTTGAGGTGTTTTTGTTTTTACAAATTTTGGTTTTGGGTTGCTCAGGTCGGTTTATGTTTTTTTTTTTTAACAAAAATCGGTGTTTGTTTTGGGTTGCTCAGGTTGTTTTGTTTTATGTGTTGCTTTTGGTTTTTCACTTCCTGAGTTCCTGGACTGTAAACTGTTTGGTTTGGACAATTTTGGTGGCAAACAACAAGTTTGAGCTTTTCGTTTGGCCTTCCACTCATGAAGCGATTTTCTTGTTTTGGGACGTGTTTGATATTTTCCGAGAGACCCCACTCCTTTTATGACGGGCTTCAAGGACAGGCCTGCTTTGATCTCCCAGACGTGGTGATTTTTTGTTAGAGTTTCCCGGTAGGGAGCACGTTGCTCCGAATTTGCCCAATTTGTGACGTCCTTTGAGGGAGACCTATGTTGGTATATATATATATATATATATATCTATATATTAAATTAGAACTGCTTTTTGTATATATTTTTGAGGAGGCGGGGGGAGGAGGTGTTCAAGCAGCTGCTTTCATTTGCGTGTGTGTGTCGATGAGTTGACGTCGTTAACGTGTTTCAACCCCAGGTGGTATTCCAAGAACTAGTGTTTCAACGAAAGCTGATCAAACAGGTGTGTCGGAATTTGGTCGAGCAGTACCCCAGCATCCTTAGATTCTGTAGTTGATACTTTTCGATGTTTGGTCCATATGTTCGTCCAGGTCTCCGTTTTTGCCCATAGTTTTTCCTGTTTTGGTTCACATGTGTTCGTCCAAGGCCCCCCCCCCCCCCCCCCCAAAAGGCGCACCTTCTATTTCTGGGTCCCCGGGTGCCGGGTGCGTTCCGCAGGACGAGAACCTGGCCACGTGCCTGGAGCGGCTGAGCCACGACGGCGCCAAGGCGGCGGTGCTGGCGGCGCTGGGGGCGGTGAAGGCGGAGAGCCACGCCCACCTCGTGGCGCCCTGGGCGAGGTTTGGACAGGGCTCCGAAGAAAAGAAATCTCCCTTTTGCAAGCATTTGAAACATGGCTGGCTTCTTCACCACCAAAATAAAGTTGGAAACCACCATTTACAACAGGGCTCCTTAAAAGATACAGTGTGCCCATTTGAAACATGGCTGGCTTTTTCAACACAAGAATAAAGGGAAACCACCATTTACAAGGCAATGTTCAGGTGTATAATGCATCCGGATCCCTGTTGGACCTTTTCGATCGGCCGATGGCTCGGTATTTTTGTTTGGACGGCGCGCTTGCTTTTCTTGGCATATTGTCTGAGGCGATTGGTACACTGCCCGTGTTTGTGGTGTTTGTTTTGGATCGATCGCAGAACTGCAAGCGATCGATCGCAGAACTGCAAGCGTGGTACAGTTCATTCTTGGTAATTTAAGCTCTCCTTGAGCATGTTTCTATCTCCGCCTCGATGACTCGGCCGATTTTCGGTCGATTTCGGTTGGACGGCGCGCTTCTCGATCCCGTTTGGACGGCAACACCTTCTGAAGGCCGGGCTGAGGCTTGGTACACAGCCCATGTTTGTGTGTGTGTGTGTGTTTTTTGCTTTTTAACGTGAACGAACCCAACGGGAGTTCCATAGGAGCATTTCTGAGAACTTGTGAAGACCCACGATTTAGCATGATTTAGCAACCAGTTCCCGGCTACGGAATTGATCATGGCTTAACAGGCCGGCCTAACGGCCCCTTGGTTGAAGCCGTTCAGAGCTAGGCCCCATGGCCAAACCAACCCCAAGGGTCTGCTAAAAACACCTCACAACAAAGACTTCGAGGGCATGTGTTAGGTTGGGTTCCATTGAATCATCCGGGACCCGAAACTGAGGACGCCGCATCAAAGACATGGCACGATCTTTTTTCAAGATTTGGGCAGTCTGGGGGCTGGCAACCAAGACAGGTATTCAGAAATTGGGAGTTACCCGTCAGACCACCTATGATACTGTAACTACCGGCTGAATCAACTTGTATTTGTTCTGAAATTATAATCGTGCTTGGCACGTACAAACATGTGGAATGCTTGCGGCGCATAGAGTTTGCTTAGGAATAGATGCGCAATTCCTAACCGAGGACAGATGCCTTGGCGTTCACCAAGTGAAAAATGATGCACTCTGATACACAAGCCAGACGATGGGACCGCAGATGAAGCCAAAAGTTGAATGACAAAGGTCTATCCTGTTTTATTGGGGATACTTCAAATGGAAAGGGTTTAACCCCCCTGTGCCAAGTGGACCAGATTTAAGAATCTGGGGGGTGCTGTCATGCCGGCCCCACATGGACGGCTTTCTTTTCAAGATTCTCTCGGTGGCTTTGTCGCTGCGAGCTCGGGGTGGCCGTGTTTATAATGCTGTTGACCCCTTCAGATGTTGGGGCAACGTGGCACGTCTTTTCAATCTGTCCTTCAACAGGTTGCCTTTTTTGCGGATCGGTCAGCTTTTGGGCGTGTAATCGCGGGGTCCCAATCCGTTGCCAGACTGATTTTTCTTTTGACTTTTTATCAATGTACTTGTTGGTTTTACTCTTTTTGTCCATATTTTCTTTGGTTTTCCCCTCATGTCCCACATTTCCGCCAGCGTCTCACTTATTTCTGACCCGAGCGCTTGCTCAGACCTCTCTCGGTGACTCGGTCTCAGGTGAAGTACCTGGACGACCCCTCCATGGCGGTGTCCTGCGCAGCTTGCCAGGCGCTGGGGAACTTGTCCTCCGGCGCACAGGAGCCGCAGCGGGAGGGAGGGGGGGGGGGGGGTGCGGGGTAAGAGGGTATTTCATGCCCAATGTGTCGTGAACATGTTTTGCCAAACATCGCAAGAAAAATGCTCGTTCGCTAATTCCGACAAATAATTTGCAGACATTGCCGATTTACTAGTAAATGTTGGCTGATTCCGGAAATTCCGGCAAATAATTACCGGAATTAGCCCAATTTGTGGCTAATTCCGGTCATTCCGCTAATTATGTGAAAGGAAGGTTCCTGGAAAACATTTTTTGCTAATTCTGCTAGTTTGGCTACTTCCGGTAATTCCGGCAAATAATTAGCGGAATTAGCCGATGTTTTTGCTAAGATTCATCTGGCGCTAGGTGGCCAGCAGCACTAGGATAAGGAGTCATTGCAAGGAGTCATTGCAAGGGGTCATTGCAAGGAGTCATGAGAGTCATTGCAAGTTGCAAGGAGCCAAGTGCATGGACTCAAGTGCAAGTTGCAAGTGCAAGGAGTTAAGTGCAAGTTGCAAGTGCAAGGAGTCAAGTGCAAGTTGCAAGTGCATGGAGTCAAGTGCAAGTTGCAAGTGTAGGGAGCCAAGTGCAAGTTGCAAGTGCAAGGAGTAAAGTGCAAGTTGCAAGTGCAAGGAGTCAAGTGCAATTGACTTGCGCGGAGTTAAAGTCTCTTCTTAGGGCGGCGGGGTAGTGCCGACGACACTCTACGAAAATCGACCCTCTGCGGGGATTGGCGTGGTCGAGGTGCAAAAACTCGAGGTTTTTTGCGATTTTGTTTTGGCCCGCGCGACCCTCTGCGGGCAAAAGCTCGAGGTGTTTTTACGATTTCTGCGACCCTCTGCGGGGATCAGTTGTTGTTCGAACTGGTCCTCGGGAGTTGTCTCGTGGTTCACGCGCCGGGTCGCGGGTTCGATTCCCCCCTGGTCCGCGGGTGGGCTTCGCAAGCTGCATGGAGCAACTTGCACAAAGCAACTTGCGGCAGAGCAACTTGCACAGACCAGTTTGCGCAGAGCGCCTTGCCTAGAGCAACTTGCGCAGAGCAATTTACGCAGAGCAACTTGCACAGAGCAACTTGCACAGAGCAACTTGCAGGGAGCAACTTGCACGGAGCAATTTGCACAGAGCAACTTGAAGGGAGCCACTTGCAGGGACCAACTTGCACGGAGTAACTTGCACACACTGCAACTTGCACAGAGCAACTTGCACAAAGCAACTTGCAGAGCAACTTGCGCAGACCAACTTGCACAGACCAGTTTGCGCAGAGCACCTTGCCAAGAGCAACTTGCGCAGAGCAACTTGCGCAGAGCAACTTGCGCAAAGCAACTTGCGCAAAGCAACTTGCGCAGAGCAACTTGCGCATGTCCCAGGCGTTGGGCCGACCTCGCTTGCGATGTTATGCTTTCGGGCCAACCGTGGTCTAGTTACGCCAATTCCGCTAATTATTTGCCGGAATTACCGGAATTAACCAAATTAGCGGTTTTACCGAAAAACTAATCCCCTTCGCCGGGCTCTTCCCCTTCGCCGGGCTCTTCCCCTTCGCGGGGCTCTTCCCCTTCGCGGGGCTCTTCCCCTTCGCGGGGCTCTTCCCCTTCGCGGGGCTCTTCCCCTTCTTGTCAGGTGTAAATGTATACATATATCTATATATATATATGTGTGTGTACGTGGATTTATATATGGAAATACATATGTACACATACACGTATTACATTCATTCATATATATATATATGTGAATAAATGTAAACGCAAATAGGCAAGTATATATATTTATATATTTACATGTTTTCTATGTTCATGTATATATATATAGTACATTTATATATACATATATACATGTTAATTCTTTCAATATATATTTACATGTCTATCTGAGTCTATCTACATATGTATACATACACAAGTTATATACACCCACATATGAGTATATATATATACATATATATATATACACACGTATATATATGTATATTGTATAGGTACATTCTTGTTCTGAGTATGTCCTTCTGAATGTTTTGGGTCGTGTTTTGTGAAGATGCAGCAAAAAGTGAGGCTCTGGACAAAAGCTTTGGTAGCTCAAGGATTGTGCCTTGCATAGCGTGATGAACAACAAATGCTGCCGAGCAAGCATCAGCGCAACACAAGTATGACCGCAAGCTATGCTGTTGTTGCCGGGCGTTCATTGCATTTTGCCAAATAGGCGGCGTTTTGGGTTTGCGCGATCTCGGCAATCTCGGGCAACTTCTTGGAAGAGAGGCACCCTGGCCAGATCCAAGTGATGTTCAATACCTTTTTGCGGCAGCCTGAGACACAAGCTTCCGAATGAAGGTAAGACTCAAGACTCCGGACCGTTTTTGCATGAATGTGTCCTTTCTTGTTTCCTGCGAGCATCGTTTCATTTCATGACGCTGGTCCTAGCAACATTTCTGCAGCCTGACATGACCGCTTTGGTTGTTCCCCGATAGCGTCAAGCTATGGGGTCTAACATTCTACTGCCTGGTAGGTGTGCGCTCGTCCGACGGCGGCTGGAGCGTGGTGTGCCGGTGTAAAGAATTGCTGAAGGGCGTTTGGGCGCCGCGGTGTGCCCATCGTGTCGGTCGGGTGTTGGCCTGGTTGCGTCGGTGTCCCGGTGTCCCGGTCGGTGTTCCGCTGTCTCAGTCAGTGTCCCGCTTCGCGGATCGGTGTTAACCCCGGTCAGTGTCCTGGGTCAGCGTCCTGCTCTCTCAGACGGTGTCCCGGTGTGCGGGTCGGGTGCCCTGGTGTCTCGGTCATTGTCCCCTGTCCTGGTGCCCCGGTGCTGTTTTGGTTGGCGTTGCTATCGATGTTTCAAATTTGATGCACAGACCTGGATGAGGCCTTGTTCGCAGGCTTTTGATGGGGCAGGAGGACGACGCTAACTTGCAGGGGCAAAAGAGCTTAGCAGCTGGCGTTGCTATCGGGCTCTGTAGCTGGGGTGGTTATTGCGCCAGCAATTCATCCATGGAATGGGGACCAGCTTTCAGGTGTTGCACACAAGCTCGAGGGCAGACACCTGCCCAATGGTGATCCGGGTGGCAGCGATGAGAGCAGATGGATCGCTTCAGTTCTGTTTGAGTTTGTCAATCACGAACATCCAGACATGTGCATCGGAGTTCATGTAAGGTCTGCTGCAGTTCGATGCCTCCAAAGCAGCATGGGTTGGCCGGAGTTCATGGCAAGCATGGCCGATCCAGGCGGCAGCTCGGGGGTTGACGCTTCCTGCAACACCTTTGCAGGGAAACACGTAAGTAAAGTGGTGCTTCTTGCGAACCACGCTGGGGCGAAAGACATTCAAATACACGCGTTTTGCGTCAATCCCAAGCTACTGATGGTGGTCTTGCTAGGGTGTTCCCGTAAAACTCAGGAAGTGGACATCGCACTTCCTCAAGCACGTGTGTCGTTTTCAGACCTTCTGGTTTGATTGCTTTCATATGCCAAAGCGGTTCAAGTTGAACGCCTCCAATGCAACCACCTGACACCTGTTCATCCTTGTTGTGTGTATGTGTTTTGGGGCGACGTCTGGTGTATGTCGGTGTGCTCAAGTATCCGACAATGCGTTTGTTGGCCATTTTGCGTCATTGTGCAACTTTGCAGCGGAATATGGGGCTGCATGCAGGTTTGCTGTGATGCAAGCGCAGGCTGTTTCCCGGCCAAGGAGCTGCAGCCGCAGCTGCGGTTGGGCAAGCCGCGCGAAGCTTCCGCCAAAAGAGCGCCGCAGGCGCGTGCAGGCTTCCCTGCGCAACAACACACAGGCTGCTCTTCTACATCAGCTTCAGCAATTTGGCGCCCTGGCTGTCTCACCTCTGCCTGCGTCTACAGTGCAGTATTGAGGCCCTCGTGGTGCGGTGCCTTTGTGAAGCGCCTGCAGCCGTCACCATCCATGCCCAGTGATCTCTTGGCTGTGCTTGAAATGTACGCGCTGCTGCGAGGAGAGGTATGCCGCAGTCAGTTGCACACCACGGACGCAGAAGGGAAGAAAATGTTAATCTCAGTTCTCTGCGGCGGCAGCCCTCCTTCCACTCATGTTGGGAATGAGTTTGTCGCAAAGCTGCAAAAGGTGTCCATATACCTCAGATGGCTGGCAATCTCTTTGCTTCCCAGTGAATACTCGTATTTCTTGTCCAAGCAGTCCGGAAAAAAACCTGACAGCTCCCTGCTGTCGCGCTTGTGCACACCTGTACATGGCATGTGAAGATGCGGTGTTACAATGCTGGGCAGAGTTCTTGGTTCAGAAGCTTCCGCGGCATCTGTCTCTTCACTTTGATGGAGTGCGGGTGTCTGCAGAGGATGGCGTGAGCAGCGAGGAGCTATACAAAAGTGCACAGGAATGCGTCATGGACAGGCTGGGCTTTGACCTGACAATCCGTGAGAAGAAACATTTGACTGTTCTGGAACTGGTAAGAGCAAATGCTCTGCGCACCGAACCTCCGCATTTTCCTGAAGAGCATGTCCTGACACATGCTGGCAACTGCATACCTCACGCAATTGGCTGCTTGCAAGAGCTGACTGATAGCGCCCTGCACAAGCTCACATATCCTGAGTTGCCTGCAAACACGTACTTCAAGGAACAAGGTTGCCGCACATATAAGCAATGCGAAGGCATGCTCGGCATACTTCTTTCTCCTGATGAGGTTCCAGTTAGTTGGCGAGTTCCTTCTGCATGTAGAAAATGCAAAATCTCTGTATCAGACCCAGATGCGCTTGTCACGGTGTGGCATGTCAGTCAGACGCTCATAGTACCAAGGCACTTCTTCTCACATCCGCAAACATTCCAGCCTTGGCCTGAATGGCACTTTGGCTTGCGGGCGCAGAGCTTGAGGCAGTTGGCAGTTGAAAACATGAGTTTTCTTGTGTGGGCGGCGGCACATTGGGCGTGAAAAACCCTTAAGGGTGGAGGGTGGGGGGGGGGGGGGTTGGGAGGGGGTGAGGGGCGGAGGGGTGTGGGAGGGGGCCAAGGCGGGTGTGAGTCCTTGACTCTCAACAAGCACTGCAGACCCACACGCATTGCCGCGTTGGTGTTTTTGTTGGAGAGGGGAAATTTGTTTTTTAGTGTCAACCAAGAAGAGGGTCATTTTTCTGGTGCATATTTGCCCTGTGGATTTCCATAAGCCACAAGACGCACCCAGAGACCCAAACAAGCTCTATAACCACCCTAATCCCCATACAAACGGGAGAAAAACGAAAAACATGGAAACCTCTACAAACCCTACAAAACCCCATAGAAACCTCGTAAACCCCCTATAAAACCCCATAGAAACCCTCTACAAGCCCCAAAACGCAAGCTACAGCTCCCCCCCCCCCGGTACAAACCCCATCACCTCTCCCGTTCCACCGGCTCGCAGGAGGCGCCGCGCATCGCCTTGAAGCTGAAGGACCCCGCGGGGCGCTTCGCGGCGGCCACGGCCTTGGGGAAGTTGGGCCCGCACGTCGTGCAGAAGAACCTGCCAGAGCTGGTGGCCTGCCTCAAGGACCCGACGAAATGCTCGAAACCAGGGCTCCGAAGAAAAGATCTCCATTCTGCGAGCATTTGAAACATGGCCGGCTTTTCAAAGGCCAACATCTAGTTGGAAACCAGCATTTACAAGTTGCAAGGTTCAGGTGTTTTTCATGTAAGGATCCCTGTTTACGGGGCAAACGGGAGAACGGGAAGCTGCCGGAAGGACCCAACGAAACGGTCGGTTGACGGGAAACGCGGGGAAGGGGAAGCGGGAAGCCGGCGAAGCAAGGAAGGGTCCTGGTCTTTTTGAGGGTCCTGTGTTTTTTTTGGGCAGTTCCTTGAGTTAAGAAAGGTCGGTCTGTTTTGAGGGTCGATCCTGCGTTTTTTTTGGTCAGTTTCATGTTATTCAACAGGGGGAATCAAAAAAGGAAGTCAACTGGGTACATTTGGATCCGTTTGGGTGGAGAGCACTGGTACCAGGACAAGGATAGCCTCACAAGGCAAGCAGCTGGCGACACTTTGGCGGTGGCTGCCGACGTGGTGTCGCAGGACGGGGGGGGGGGCGGCCAAAGCGCCGGCTAAAGGGGGTGGAAAACCGGGGGGGGGGGGGTGAAAGGAGGGTTTGGTCTTCCAAGTACCCGCAAAACAAAGAATTATTTTTGACTTTGATCTTGGCAAATGGGAAAATCTGCCGTGCCAGGGTCCAAGATCAAGGCAGGCTTGCCCCATAGACTTAAAGCCAGGCGTCGCTTTGCAGAAGAGTGGCGCCTTTGTGTGTCAGGTATCCCTGAGACAAAGTGCATAAATGCAACACATGTGTACAACAGCGGCTGCGAGCCTAGGAATTTGGCTTGGTTTCTCTTTGCTTTCCTTTGGGAGATCCAATTTCTACCATGGTGCCAGGGGATGTGAGGAACAGCCTGGGTTTCTCTTCTATTTGGAACCTCGCCATCCAAAGCCAGGCTCCCCTTTGGCTTGCCGCCAAAAAGTCACCAACATGTTCTTCATCAAACTGGTCGAATGTTTAGAAACAACTTACACCTTTGGCCTTTCCCAATATGCTGACATCATATATTGAAATCATCGGTTGAAGACGTTGAAGACGTTCACCAAGTGATCCCTCTTCCTACTTTGTAGCCTGAATGGGCTGCAAGCAAACCAATTCAGTACGGAACTAGACAGACGCCTCCTCAAAGCTTTTCCTGTCAAGAGGCCCGTCAGGTCTCTGCCGGTGGAGTTTCTGGTTTCAAAGTCGCAGGCCAGTCGTCGCACCAATCGTTTAGGCTTTGCACACACGATTTCCGGATCCACCACGTGTTCAGCTTTGGCCACAAAATCGCCTTCATGAAATGAAAGACGGGCACAACAACCCCCCACGCGCCCACGCCACTGGGCCACGCGCGGTGCCTGACGCATCACCGCGCCTGACGCATCACCGCGCGCCACGGGATCTGAGGACGGCCAGGGCATCGCGTCGCTGCTGAAGGACCCGGCGCCGGGGATCCGCTGCACCGCGGCGCTGGCGCTGGGGAAGCTGGGCCCCAAGGCGCCGGACTGGATTCGATGCGCTGGTGGGACCAGTGGGACCGGTGTCGGTGGGGCCGCTCCCTTGGATGCGCGGGAGGAATTCCCCTGGTCGGTGGACCGATTTTTTTGGGGGAGGGAGGAAGTGTGGGGGGAGGGGAGTGGAGGGGGGGGAGGAGTGGGGGGGGGAGTGGGAGGGGAGCGAGTTGTTTCTGGTATTTTGCGGGAACGAGGAATGGAACGACCCCCATAAACCGTCCAACTGGTTTCCTTTAAGAGGACCCCTGGGTTCATTCCTCAGTTCTCATTCCCTACTTATCGCACCAGCAAGTTTTTCGGTGGACCGCTTCCCCGGGGCGATGGGGGGAGGGGGGCAGTTCAGTGGAAGTTCAGGGGAAAATCGGTCGTCCGATTGGTCTTTTGGCGAGTGGGGATCTCAACACTTAGCTCACACGACCAGCTTTTGAGGCCTTTCGACCCCATTCAGGGGTTCGATCATGTTTCTTTTCTTCTTTTTTTTTTTTTTTGGGGGGGGGGGGGGTGTTTTTGGTTTAAGTTTCACTTAGTTCAATGGGTACGCTGTGAGTGCGTGCGCAGCTTTCTATCTTGCTCTTGTTCTGTTTGCTGTCTTTCATTCGTTCTTTCTTTCTCTTTTTCTTTCTTTCTTTCTTTCTCTTTTTCTTTCTTTCTGTCTGTGATGTTTCTTTCTTTCTTTTGTTATTTTCTTTCTTTATTTATTTATTTATGTTCTCTCTCTCTCTCTCTCTCTCGTGTTTTGCGAGTGTGCGCATGTTTGATTGAATGAAGAGAGGCATCATATGGTGCAGGACAGAGATGCCTCGCAGCTCTTCAAACCCCACCCCTACCGCAGCATGTGGTGACAGCAAGCACCAGAGGGACATTTTAGACCATCATGTCTTGAAGTCTTTGGGGCTTTTTGAGTTTGCTGTTTGACGCATGCCCCTTGGCATACCTCGCTTCGGCCAGGGAGCGGCTTACGCCGCAGAGGTCGCGGAGCTTTTGCGCGACACCGCTGAGGAAAACGACGCCGAGGGATCGATCCCCTGGGTTGGGTGCGAGTCACACACGCAGCACGCAGTTGGCGGTTTCCAGTGCTTGACCCGCAAGAGAGGGGAATCCTTTGGTTTTGGGAGACGCCCCCCCCATTTCAGGACAGATACAATATAAACAAAAAGAAGATAAAAGTATAATCAAAGAATCACGCCTCCTGGCTGCTCCAACTCCATGAGCGGAGATACTGGCAGTGCTCTCCTTCGCAGATTCCAAGCTTCTCCCCCAGCCAAAACAGGCCTTCAATCCACCCACCAGAGCAGTGCTGCAGCCAAAGAACGTGGTTGGGTTGCCACTCACATTCAGCAGGGACGGGCGTCAACCACTTTGGTCAGCGTCAACCACAATCGTGAGCGCCATTGTGTATAAACCATCGAGAGCCACGGCTCAGGTTGCGGCTTGGATTCGGCGGATCAGAACGGGGACCAACCCCTTTTGGACACTGCAAGGAATAAACGAAAGGAGAACAGGGGAAGCTTCAGACCACAAAACGGCAAAATGATGGCCCCCTTTTTGGGGATTTTGTTGGATCCGTTTGAATCCGAGGCACAAATTGCCATCCTTGACATTGACATGCTAGAAGTGGCTCCTATCTTTGGCAACCCCCCCACACCCAGACCGATTTTTGTTTTTCGGGGGATAAGGCTGCAGATATCCCTAAGCAGTCTTATTATGGCCAAACTTGCGACCAAATCAGGCCTTAGAATGGCAAGGCCATGCACCACGCCATTTCGATGATGACTTGAAGGGTAAAACGGGCTCACGAAAGGGTTATTGGTTTGGGGGATTCCTGATTTCAGCTGTGTTTATTCTAGTATACGACTTGAGCTTGAGACTTTCGGAAGCCCAACAACTTCTGGAACTTCTTGGTTTGGTTGCAAAAATAGCGGGCGATTCCTGGTTTGCCTGGTGGTTCAATCGTCCACCAGGGCCATCTGTTTTCCAAGTTGAGACTTTACCCATGTTGAGACTTTAGGAACATCCGGAACTTCTGGGGTGAAAACTTGCCAGTGCGTGGATAACTTCAGGAAGCCAAAACAAAACTTTGTTGGGCGAAGATTTCTCCCGAATCCCAGCGCGTCCAGGACGAGTCGGAGAGCTACTTGGCGGTGGGGGGCGGCAGCTTGCGCTCCGACGCCACCCTGCGGCGGCCCAAGTGCGCGGCGCTGGCCAGCCTCAGCCGCATGCAGGCGAAGAAGTCGCTCCACTTCCATTTGGTTATTTTGTTAATTTAGAATATTGCAACGACTGGAACAATTCAGGTTTCACGAATGAATTCTGACAATTCTGAACAATTAACAATGTGTCTATTGATATTCCAGGCGTTTAAGAATATTTGTTACTTTCCAACATGTTGATTTCAAAGGGAAACTATCACGACTGGGATTTGTTTTGTCCAGGGGACTTAAGCAGGAGCTTCAAGAGACGCCTCTGGTGGTTCAAGGGGGGGTGCCCTTGGTGAATTCCATGGTTGGATATGTTTTCGCACAACCCACCTGACCAGAGGCGCAGAAAAACAACGGCGAATATTGAACATATACTTCATTTACTGACTTTGTTGGTTTTGACGGAAATCCGGCTTGACAATTTTCATGGGGGGGGTTACCCTTTGGGGGGTTGGATTTAAGGGCTAAACTCAGTTGGAAGAAAATAGCCACACCTGGCCCCACTCTCTTACAGCCCTTATCTTCATTCGTGAGTTCCGGGAGCGGTAAAGATATGATGTGGCTGAGAGATGAACGATGGGGAAGTGTCAGGGATTTTATCCGTCCAGTGGGTTGCATCCGCATTACACAGCAGGAGCTGTGAAGGCGAGGCACGCCTCTATCATATCATCTATTTCCTTCATTCCTGTTACCTTGTCATATTATCTAATCATATCATAAGATCTAATCATATTATCTTATCATAGTATCTAATCATCATATATTTCCTTATTACCTATTCCTGCTTTGTTTTGGCCTCAAGCTCCCCTGACAGGCCGAAAGTCACCTGAACGCCATCGCCGCAGCTCTGCGGGACACGTCCTACGAAGTGAGGCGCCAGCTGCGGCCACAGCGTTTCCCGCGCGCGCGCAAACCTTTGAGCTGAGATTGGATTCGCCCAACAAGATGTAGCTTGTTCACAACACATGTGCATGTTTGTTTCCTTGTTTTCCGCTGCGTGTGTTTCTATATGCAACAAGTATCCCAACCTTGGGGCGATTTATGTTGGCTACATGACGTCATGCTCCGATGGACGCGTGGCCTAGACAAGCTCGCAGGGATGGGGATGCAGCAATGCGCGTGCTGTCAACTATCTGAAGTCTCAGAGGCTTTTTCGTGAAACAGATCATTTTCCGATCGAAAAAGGAAGCACCCCTACATCCCGAGGTTGTCGGTTCAGAGAGGACATTGCTGTGCGCGTCCTAGGCATTGTCGCTGCATGTAAAGCAAGCAAGCACAGCTGAAGGTTCGTTTTTATGCCGGACACTGCCAGATATTCCTTCAGCACTGAAGTTATTATGGTTGTCAACCTCTAGTCGACATTCGGTTTTGTTGGATACCGTGGATGGACGAAATCAAATTCGCACCACCTAAGAAACTCTGGTTTCTGTTGATTCCCCTGCAAATACCAACAAGAAATGGTTTCCACCGCGGTTTCTTAGGTGGTGCGACATGGATTTCTTCGGTAGGGGTCGATCCAGGCCGCTTGTTCCAGCGCTGGCTAGGCTGGCTGCCCTGGACGCGATCATGCATATGGGACCAAGCGCTAAGAAGTACTCCACCAGCGTCATGAGCGTCATGGAGGAACTTGTTGGGCAGTAAGAAGAATGGGAGCCCAGTGGATTTACTAGGTCCCCCAGCTAGGCGTCCTTTTGCCGTTTCTTTTTTGGGGGAGGGTTTCCCGACTAAAGTAGACTACAGAAAACAAGGTGCCCTGATTCTAACCTCTCTACTGGAGGACCTAGCAGTTCATTTAGAAACCCTGGTTGACTCAGTTGTGCGAACCGAATCGACCAGATGTGACCTTTTGGTGGTCCCATTTGGTTGATGTTTAGTCACAGCTCCAAAAGGTCAAGTTTTTTTTTTTCTGGGTCCTTTGGGCAACTGAGTTCATGAATAGGGGGTGTCTCATTCATGGGCACTTGTACTGGGTTTCTTGACGCTCCGTGACATGTTCAGCTGCTTTCATATTTTTTGTTGCGATCAATCGTTTCTTCCCCAGATGAACTCGGGCACGTGAGGGAGTTGGAAAAGGTGGCCGTTCACCATATGCCTGAAAAACCGGCTGTTCGCGGTACCTTCACGGCATGCCGGTGCTTGTGTCATGCAAAGGGACAAAATCAAGCTGATTGTCTGAACATGTGCCATGTTCACAATGCCTGCTTGCGTGGGGTTCATACTCATGAACCTGGGAAACACGTCTGACTAACCTGTCGCCACAGACAGGCTGGAGTCACCGGGGGTTTCGACTGGTCTCCTTCGCAAGCAAAAGCACGGCTTGTGACTTTGCTGACATGGACTTGGAGTGGTCAGTTCGCGTTGAAAGGCAGGCTTAGGTGTCCTGTGGAAGGGTTTCATTTCCCCATCAAAGGCCTTCTATTGCTACATGTGGCTTCTTTGCCAGCCACAGAACCGCATGAATTGGGGAGGCCTTTGCAACTTGTTTGTGACAACCTCCTTATTAACGTCGCATGATCACTTGGCTCCTTTAGATAACACGTTCCATTGCTCAATTGCAAGCCGTTACTTCAAACTCATATTGCAACTGCAATTCAGGAAGTGAACGAATTGCAATACGTGTTGTTTACTAGAATGTGCAGCCCTACCATTTTAGACACTTCACGCGGGAACAACTCCGAGCTCATTTTTACAGCCGAGGCATTTCCGTACAGTTTTCCACGACTCCGAGATGGGGATCATGTGAAGCTGCCTTACTCGGCTTTTCCCCCTCCAGTGCAGCTATCCGCTTGGGTTACCAAACAACACCTAGAAGCACAATGCTTGCAAGAGGGCGTACCTCCCTGGAGGTACATGACAGTTCCCTACATGCAAACTCTCAGCCAAGTCTTGAGAAACGGAAGATATTCCAAAAGCGAAGGATTTTGTAGAGCGTTGGCTGGTGCTGAAGGCCAGACCAAAGCGGCCATCGTCTTTGTAATTTCTTGGCATGCCAGAGTCAAACCCCTTTCACATGGACCCCGGTTCCTCTTGAGGAGACCATGACCATGGCCCAGAGCTTTCAGCATGGAACATGTGGTTCGAGGTTGCCTTTTCTCTTTCACCGGGTTTTGGTGGGCCACACTTCCCACCATTCGCTTTTTCCTCCTCTCCAGGACGATGTCTACTTGGTGCGCTTGAAGTCGTGTCAGTGCATCGCTGCTATTGGCGCTACCGATGTCATGGACAACTTGCCAGACCTCTTCCAGGAAGGGTTCACGCCGGCGCTTGCCGAATTATGATAACCGAAATTTTGGCGCATCAGCGTATCCGAATATTCGGGGCTACTCTGATTAAATTTCGAAAATAGATAGAGGCTCGTGGGGTAATTCGAAACAAAATAATGTCATCATGGGGTCATGGGGAGAACATGCTGGCAAGAAATCCCCCCTTTTTTATGGGCGCATAGGGTCTATGGCAGCTGAAACGTCATTTGGAAACATGCAAGCAACAGCCGATCAAGGGGATTGTGCACCTCTGGATTTCCCACAAAGCACCGCACGGCACATGATATAATACTGGTAGCATTCAAACGTGTGCGCTTGGAAACTTCATTTGGAAACTTCATTTGGATTGTGCACCTCTGGATTTCCCACAAAGCAATACGCGACATATGATACTACTGGTAGTATGTAATCATAAATAGCGAGTCTGCATGAAGCCCAGTCCTTGCTGCAAAGACATTCGCCATGCCATCAGCAAGCCTTTGCCCACCTGTGATGCCAACTTAGCGAGCTCAAGGGTCAGGCGCAGACGCGAGGTCCAGGAGTTGAGAGGAAAACCCGTATAGCCGGTCTTGAAGATATATATATATATATATACAGTTGTCCCACTTGCCCAGTGGCGCCCTTTTTCCAACTTGCGTTTTGGGGAAGGGTTTCCCCTTAAACTCAACCAAGCAAAAAAACAGGCCGATTCTGTTTGCCATGGAAATCCACTCGGCATCTGATATTATATATATATATATGTAAAATATATACATACGTACATGGTTGCAGCTAAATTTGTCCACAAGCATTCAAGCATTGGATTGGCAGGGTCGAAACTGGAAGCGATTAAGTTAGTACCTGGATTGACAATGCTTGATTGCTATCGAGTTGGATCTTTATACTTTAACTTTTGGGGAAATGATGGGTTTTCCCTTGAACCCACAAACAGTTAAACTATTTGCCGAGGGGTCGACTGCAATCAAGTGTGGATTCCACAATGGGAGGCCGTGGAAGAAGCAGCACCGTGTTCGTTTTCATGGATCAGGAACCCAGAGACCTCGGGCGTCATTCTAAATTGATACCTGATACATGGGCCCACTTCCTAGGTAAAATGAACGGCATCCTCTTCCAACCTCTTTGCACCACAGCTCGACGCACCACCTGCTTTTTAGTGAATTCCTTACAAAGTGTCAACCCAACTATGCAATGGGCACTTCTTCCCTTCCTTTTCAAGTGCTAAGTCTTTTGGGCTGAAGGCAAGACGTCGCACCCCATGGGTCCTCCCTCCATCTCCCTCTTTTGACGTAACCCCCAAGGCACCCCCAGTAAGGCCCTTTTGCCGTTTCTTTTTTGGTTGGGAGGGTTCCCCTACTAAAATAGACTACAGAAAAAGGGTACCCTTATTCTAACCTCTCTACTGGAGGACCTAGAATATGCAATTCTAACCTAGAAAAAGGGTTCCCCTAAACTATTCTAACCTCTCAAGTCTGGAGGACCTGGTGTCCCTTTTCGGCGCCCGGAAAATCCCCAAACCCCCGCCCCCGGCGCCCGCGCGCGCGCCCGCGCGCTGGCGAGCGAGGACGAAGCGCCTTCGGTGAGGCAAGGGGCGCTGGAGGCGCTGGCGACCAACCCGGAGATTGCCAAGAAGTACTCCTCCCAGGCGAGAAACCTGGCGATGTAGGTGGTAAAAAATGGCGCCCAGCTGCCCAGTCGCGGCCTTTTTTCCTTTTTGTTTGAGAAGGGTTCCCCTTTAAAGTCAACCAACCCAAACAAGGATGCATCCCTTTTTTGCAACCCATGACCCGCCGTACAGGGCTTTGAAAAAGACCGTCCGGGGCCAAAAATGTAATGGGCCGGATTTTGGCCGGGGTCGGAAGGTGGTGCATGGGCGTGGAAAGTCAAATCGCAAGCATGTGGTTGTGCGGGGTTATCGCGGGTAAATCCGACATAAGAGGTGCGTCCCCACAGCACCATCTCCAATACGCAACCTCTTAAATTGCATCATTTGGCTTTACTAAGAGGGGGGGGGGACCCCCCCCGTCGCAGAACAATGGAACCGACCCAAAGAGGGTTTATTTTGTTGGTTTTTTCATCGGAGCAGTAGGGAAATTGTCGTACCATGACACAAAGCCATGCCGACCGCTGAGTGCAGCTTTGCATGTGTAACCATCTTCCAGAGTCAATGGGTGAAGGACCCCGCAGCTCGATCCACTGATGCATTTTCCAAGGAGCAATTGGCACATGGCTATGGGTTAAAACCCCGTACCCCCAGTGAACATCCCGATCCCCACTAAAATAGACTAAAATGGGCGGTGCACCTACCCCAAAATGGTACCATTGGTGTTGACCCACGGCCAACTGGTTATAGTTTTAGCCCGGAACTAAATGGTTGCTTGAGTTTCCCGAGTTGAGTTAAGTCCGCCTTAGAGACTCATGGGCAGGTCAACCATTTGTTGGCCGCTGATTTCTTACAGCATTTCGTTTGTTGGCCGTGGGCCACATGACGCTAAACAAAGCAAAGAACCATGGCCAGGTCCTCAAAGTGTTTGTTGTTGCTATCACTTTCAGAACCATTAAAACCTGACCAGGTGGTTCGTTGTTTTGTGTTTTCTTTGTGATTATGGTTACTATCATCATTATCATCAACATCATCATCAACAACATCATCATCATCATCATCACCACCACCACCATCATCATCCTTATCCTCATCCTTATTTCCACTTTGTGGGATGAAGTCTACACCATTTGCGTCTTCCTTGTTGGCCGTGCCATGTCTTCTTTGGGTTCCCAGGCGAAACATGACCATGGCGCATGGGAGGTCTATTGGATCATAACATCATGTGGGCGTGTCGTGTTTAGGGGAGCCCCCTAAGGGGTTTCGGTTGTCCTGTTGGTTTCCCTTTTAGCCCAAACAGGGCAACCAACTCAAGAAAACACACCCATATTCCCATTAGTTCTTGTTGGCCCTTACACTGGCACCATGAATTTACCATTCCCAAAAGCCACCCGAACTTCTGGCAGATTAAAGGGAAAGAGGTTCAGTTACTGACTTTCGCCCCCACAAAACGTTCCAAATCACGGCCCCAGCGATAAAGCCATGGGTCAAAATCCAAATCGTACCCCCAGTAAACATCCCAATCCAACCACTAAAATAGGTAACCTAAAATGGGTGGTGAATTCACCTACCATTTCCAAACTGGGATCCCAAAACAGTGTTGACCACCACAGCCATACTGTGGATGGACCAAATCCTGCACCACTTTGACACCATGGGAAACCATTGTTTGTTAGTATTTCCAGCAAAATCATCATTCCAGGGTTTCTTAGGTGGTGCGAAATGGATTTCGTCCATCCACAGTATGTTCGCCAGGTCTTTAAGCTCATGGCGGACGAATACGGCTGCGTGCGCGGCGCGGCCATGCGGTGCCTGGCGTCCATGGACACGGTGGGCCAGTGCTACGCCAGCGCCATCGCCGGGGAGCTGACCAGCCAGGACCAGTCTTCTTCCCCAGAATTAGTCCCCTTTTTGTGTTTTTGCTTTTTTGGGGGTCCCTTTGTTTTCCACTAACCAGGCAAAGAAGATGACTTTTTGTTGGGGTCCTAATTCCAGCCAAGTGTTCGGGCGGTTTTTGGGGTGGTTTTCGGGCGGTGTTCGGGCGGTTTTCGGGGTGGTGTTCAGGTGTTTTTTGGGTGAGCTCTCGGAGGGATGGGAATCCCACTTTGGTAGCTCACAGAAAGGGAGCGTCTAAAAAAAAAAAAAAACGTGGCGACGGGAGGGCTTTCAAGTTACTTGACTCAGTGGAACGTGCCCAATCCTTTCGAACAGGACTTGTTTTGTGTCAAACTGTTGGAACAGGAGCATGGGACAGGCAACTTGGTACGCCAATTTGGGTTGAATTCTTCAAAGTCCCAAAAGGCCCTACACAGGTGGTTCTTTTTGGGTTTACCTTCAAACCCATCCAAAACGGAGTCCTTTTCCTAGTTTGCCGGGCGGTATTTGTTGATTGACCTGGGTGAATTAGGCCGGCAAATCGAGCCTTATCCAACGATCGGAGTCACTCGCGCCATTCTCACTTTAATTAAATCATGTCTTCATGGTTGTTGTTGGGAAACATTTTACATTTTGGCTTTTTGTGGTTTAGTGGGAAATCTCCACTTAACTGCTAAAATTGATTTTTGTTGCTCCCCTTTCAAGGTCAACCAAGTCTTAAAGCAGCAGCCGGTATAATGTTCATCTCCATTTAGGCCATCATCTAAATGTTTCCCAAATTTTAACACAGGAATATTTGATTTCAGATGGGATGTCCTAAAATTTACTGAGCCCCATTTGACCGTAACCTTGCCAACAGAAATGATTGCAACCTTCCAGAGTGGGTTGATCCAATAAACAACCGCCTTTTCTTGCGCTTGATTCAATGTCCCGAAAAGGGCTTTCTTGGTCAGCAACCCTCACAGCTGACAATGGCTCTGAACTTTCGCCTGGTTTGATCGGATGTAACACTTCGACACGCAGGATGCTCCTACATTTCACTCTCTCACTCCCTAAGTTCATGGACTTGTCCTCCTTTGAGGGGGAAAAACCATTTTAGTGGTACAAGTTCAGACATTTTTTTTGGCCGATCCGGATTCGCAGGCATGATTTAGATGGTAGGAATCCTGCTCTATGGCTGTGTTCAGGTCCCCCGCAAAGCCCCTTTCTTGAATTCCTGCGGCAACATGTCGCAGGGAACGTATTGAACCCCCAGTGAACCCCAAGTACCCTTATGCAAGACATACAAGCAAACCACTCCGAAGCCAACCTCAGGTTTATGCCACTCCAACCCACCCACACCAAACCCCATCCCCAACCAAGCCATGCGCAACCCACCAACCAAACAAAGGATAGCCTACGCGTAATGCCAGACAAGAACATAGCCCGGTTTCTTGTCGACTTCCCTCAGAAACCAACACACAGAGGGGCGTCCCTTCAACACAACCATCGTCAACAAGCTGTGGCATCCCCTGTTTTTCTTCAGGCACAGACGCTGGGGTTCGCAATCGTTCCATTAAAACCAACCTCCTCCCCCCCCCAAAAAAAAAGAAACAAGTTCTCCTCTCATTCCCGTGGCATGGGGTGTTTAAACCCACCCACTCAGAAACAAACAACAACAACACCATTTTCTCACTTTCTCACGGGCTCATCCCGGCGTGGTGCTATTGCACGCGGCCGGCTGACGACTCTTTGAGTCACGATCTACGTTCTTCTCATCCACCGGAGCAGAGAGCTCGACGGTGGGGTCTGAATTCTGAGCAAAGCCACTGGGCCAGCTGGTGGCAAATAGCCGGCCCCTTGCGTTGTGCGGCGCAGCACTCCATGCGGGAGGTGCTGCCCAAGCCAAATCTCGACCGCCTCATGCCTGTTCTGAGGCCAAGGAACGCTGACACACTGGAGCCAGGCACAGAGAGTTTCACTTTCTGGCCGGGCAAAGGCAACCGTGTAGGAGATTCCTTGCTCGTCCCAAAGGGCGTTGAGGGCTGCTTTGAACCACTTGGTTCGTTGACGCAGCGTGCGTGGCACCAGGGTGGTGCCTTGGAGATTGGGCTCATGCCACAGTTTGCCATCACGTACCGGGCCTTGGAACCCGGTGGCCTGCTGGTAGGCAACGAGAAGCTGCATGTAAGATACCCATCTAATGGGCCCATCCTTCAAGCAATGTTTCCACCAAAGTGTCATGGTATCAATTACCCTCTGGCCGAGTCTACCATACGCCCGGTGCGGCGTCGGCAGCGGGTTACCCGGCACTACGAAAGCAACAACTGGTTGGGCCAATCTGGGCGGCCCTGGGGCTTGTTGACCCGGCTGGATTTGGAGAAACTTCATGGCAACTCTGACAAAATGAGCGTGCAGCTCAGCAATAACCAAGCGCTGGTGTTGCCTGGCTCCGGCACATGCACTACGGGCAAGGTGAAAGGCCTGGTCCCGATTGGCATTGGCCTGAACTGCTGCTTTGTCTGCGCAGGCGTTGTGATAGGCTGCCCATTCCTCGAGCGGTGAGGTATGGTCATTTTCACTGGTGTGTGCCGCAACTTTTGTAATTTTTATCCTAGCAAGTCCTAGCTTCTGGGCGGAGGCGGCTATGTCGGCCCACAGGTCACCGTCTCTTGCGTTGGCCCAACTGGGCTCGCTGCCGGCCAAAATGGCCTGCATTTTGCGGACGACGCCCAGGCAGTCAGACCAGATTTGAACCGGTCTGTGTGCCCGTATGGCCACTTCCAGGGCCTGCTTAACTGCATACGTCTCTGCTCGAGGCACGGTTTGGAGGAGTCCTGGCAGGGGTCCTTGAGTGACGATGTGGTTTTCCCAAATGTCGTGCTCGTGAACTGCGGTGACTGCCCAGGCAGCGTACCTGAGTACCGGGTCCTGCGGCGATTGCGCCGAGCCGTCCGTGAAAAGGTTCAAGGGGGCGCCAGATTCACTATGCGGAGCACGGTATTCGAAAGTGACTGGCTCAAGCAACCTTTTCATCCACCGGATTTGCTGCGGGGATATGGTGGCCCAACCCCGTTCACGAGTGCATTCATGCAGAAGCTCCAGGCTTCCGATGCCGGCCGGGATGGCCTGGCGTGAGGCCTGGGTTGCTGCACATTCCCAATGCCTATGATGCATGCTGTCGGGCTCTTGACAGAGCGGGCACTGCTCCGTTTGATTCGGATCGTACTTGTGCACCTTGTCATTCGCAAAGAAGGAGCCGTTGAGTACTAGCCTGAGGATGGCCTGGTCCGTGTCAGGAAATTTTCCCAGAACTGTTTTTGTGAGGCTGGCGTCAACTTGGCTCATGCCTGCAAACCCGGGTCGATGTTCTACCGAGGCACCGGCTTGGCGGTTCCACGCTAGTCGCATGCGCATATAAACGCTCTGCGCTGGATCATGTAGCAAGGAGAATTCACCAAGTTGGTCAACGACTTCACCCACTGGGCCGACCTCCCACTGAAAGGCAGCGAACCTCTCTACCAATACCCGGCTGGGTCCTGTGCGGGTACCCGTGGCAGCGGCCGCTGCCAGTGTGAGCGTGGCGAGTGTTTGTGGGTCGGCTTGTGCTCGGTATGTCCGCAGTGTGATCCAGGCAGCATGGAACTCCGGGTCATGACTGGGCTCCTCCAACACCCCAAGATGGATTTTGGGGTTGGCCCCTGGCTTCTTGGCTCCTAGTCCCCGCATAGCTCCGGTGCGGAGATGTTTGTAATTTTCCGGCCCAAGGTGACAAATGGAAATGCCATGCATAGCTCGAGGCCATGCAGCGGCTTTGATGGCCATGAGTTTGACTTTGTATGGACTGCAGCACTGGCGTAATTGAGCCCAGAGGGGTTTGAGCTTAGTGATTCTTTCTACAAGCGTGGCGTTGGTGGGCTGTCTGCTATACTGCACATGCCCTCCAAGGTCACGGGCCGCGAGCTTAAGGGATAAGCCCGTGCGTTTCACAATTTTCCTCCCCTGAGTATTGTTGGCCCAGATATAGGATTTATCCTGATCCAAATGCAAGTCATGGGCGTCGGCGAAGCTTTGAAGCACCCGGTATGCGGGCTGGACATTGCGGGCCTCGTGGGTCTGGACTTCCCAGTTGTCCACGTACGACAACATATTCACCCCTGGGGCATTGAGGCGCATGTGAGTTGCCAGGACCTGGTTCAAAAGGACCATGGCCAAGCAAGAGAGGGCACATCCCTCGGGGTACCCTGTCGTACCGTGTAGGGCAGGGCCTACTGAATTTCGGATTTTGAATCTCCTGGCCATAACAGAAGTGGCTTTTTGTTCCAGGCTCTAACGACTCCGGAGTCCAGCCCAGCGGCAATGGCTGCGGTGAAAACTGGCGTACGTGGCAAGCAGTTGAAACATTTTGTGATGTCCGCTACGAGACCGGCGACTTCCTGGCCGTTGGCACAAGCAAATTCAAGGCGGCTCTGCAGCTTCCACCATACGTCACCGGCGTGTTTTTTTGGCACGTTCCCAAAGATATTGGTATCAAGGATTGGCGCTATCGCCCGTATGCACTGGCGACATCGGATGCTGCCCCATAACCTATAGAGCAGGCTAAACACGGTGATTGGTCTGTAGGAGGCCGCACTATTCGGTGAGGATGTTTTCTCAAGTGCACTGACAATGCCTGTGACCAGTTGCGGTGGCCATTTGCCCGTGGTCTCGGCTTGGTGATACAATGCGAGAATGCCACGGACTATGTCAGATGGCAGGTTCAGCAGGTCCTCGCGGCGAACGCCGTCCGGACCTGCGGCTGCTTTGCGTGGCTTGCGCCTGACTTCAGCTCTCCACTGTTCCTCCGTGATAGGATCAAGGGGGTGTAGTTGGGGTGGGAAGCTGGCCCAGGCAAGTTCGGAGGCATGGTCCCAGGTGGACTGTGGCCAGGCGTCGTGCTTGGCCCATCGTGTTTGCCACTCGTTGGCAAAGGCTTGAAACATTTCATCAAGTTCGCCGACCATGGTTTCCTGGACGAGTTCGTC